AAAAAAAAAAAAAAAAGAAGATTCTGGATTCTCATAATCTGCTTCTGCATTCAATCTCTTGTAATAGTCTTGGATATCATTTTCAAATTTAAACTGTGTTTTATGATTAGGTCACACTCTTTGGTCTACAGGGCATTTCCCAAGGGCTCCTCTCCAAAACCAGGTTAGGAAGATCACTGAATAGCTACTTCCTTACACGTGGACATGTGGATACATGTTTATGCCAAAGGCATTCAAGATAAGCCTTCTTCCATTCCCTATACCCCTGAATAGCCATGTGACATCAGGCAAGTTACTTAATCTCCTTGAAGCCACATTTCTATTTCTGTAAAACAGGAATGTTAATATATACCTTTCAGGGATCTATGTGTCCGGCTCACTCTAATAAATGGCAGCTATGATTACAGATACTAAAAATTGTCTTAAAATAATCATATATGATTAGTAGTTGATATACACAATATAATACAATAATAGATCTCACTTATTTTCTATTATTACATATATTCCAACTGAATGAAATCAGGGATAGCTTCATGAAGAAAGTGGTATTTAAGGAGAGTTTTAAGATGCTTCGTTTCAACAGAAGGGAACAAGATGGGCAAAAGAGCAGAGGTGGAAAAGCATACTGAAAATTGAGGCTACGGCAAGCAGTGTGATGTGCCTGGAGTGTAAGATGCCTGGTTGGCAATGGAATCATATGGGAGATAAGGATGGGACCGAATCGTGCAAAGCCTTAAGGCCATGCTAAATTTCTGAATCACAAGTCTACAGATGCTCTCTCATCACATTTTTATGGCAGTAGTATGGTGAATGGATTGATAGTGCAAAGGCAAGGGCTTCATTAGGAAGCTGTCAGAATAGTGCAAAGGAGACAAGGAAAATGACAACAGGGCAAAAAGGCAAACACCTGAAACTTTTCTCCCAAAGGATCCAATTTCACTGTCCGTTTCAGGCTGGAGAAAGTTCCATTCCAAAGGACCCAGCAATGTTGCTGTTCCAGACAGGAGAATTAAGCAATGATTTTGGGGGATGTGTGAAAGATTCTGATACAAACATGGCATTAGGGATAAACCTAATTAGGTGGGCATTTATTAGAGGGAAGGAAGGCAAGTCCTGAAGAAGAGGCATGAGGCAACAGGCACCCCAAAACATGTCTACCATACCCATATATCCAGTGGTGTTTTGGTAATGTTTAACTTGGGAAATTATGTACATATGTGTACATAATTTATTATAAATTTTACTGATATAAAGAATGTATAGCATACAATCTATAAATAATTACAAAATATACGTACTGTTTGGTATAAATTCCATATAACCAATTGATTCTCACGGAATGCTTTCATTGATTTTTGCCAAACTCTTATATCTGTAGCCAGCCTAAGGTTGCAACTGAAGAACAAGGGTAATTATGACATGAACATGAGTTGATATTTTATTTACCTCAATCAGTTAAGACAAAACTAAAACAATGAAGAAGTATGTCAAAACTTCACTCATTTGTCAATGAAATGAGCTACTTTTCTACTGAATCAGATGATAGTTTTCAAATACTGGAATAATATGTACTCATTTTTTTGTGTTATTCTCAATATAATGGCTACAGTTATGACATACTTCTAAGTTTAATCTGTATAACTTTCCCTATCACTTCTTAAGTGTAGACCAACAAAACAATCAATTGGCAAGCTGGTCTGAAGGCAGTGAGTTATCTCTATTGATGGTTCACAGTTACAGAGCTTACTCCTTGTTCTCTTTCCCCCCTTCTCACTATTGCCCTTGACTAGTCTTAAAGCAAAAGCAACAAAAAAATCAAATACTGCTTTGTAGCACTTGCTGATTTCCAAGGTATAAATATTCCCACCGTGGCCAATTTCAAGCTACCAATTTGGCATGACTAAACGCAGAATTAGGAAGCAATGCTCAGTAGCCCATCATTATAAAGTATTTCTACCACAGAGATACAACAGAGGTAAATAACCTCAATAACATAGATAATAGTAAAATGTAGTAAAATAATTAAGAAGTGAGTTTTGTGCATTTATTATCTTCATTTTTAATATACTTATTTAGCTATAAGTTTATATAATTTAATTTTTAGTAATGGCTGTGTTTAACAACTGGATCACACACATTTCTGAAATTTTAACAACTGGCTCTTATGAGCTAGTATGAATGAACTCTAGTACATCTCTGCTTATATCGTACATCATCTGTAATATGGGGATATAAGTAGTGTCCTTTTTATAGTTGTTAGGGTTGAATGACAGGTACAATTTTCATCATAGTAATCTTATTCATTATTATCAAGACCATTTGTATAATTTTTTAAAACTATGTTTAAATCATAGCTGGTATGTTATTTATCTCTAAGGAAATAATGACCAATAAACATCTACCTTTCCTAAAATATCATTTTTACACCTCTTCTTCACATGTGTGACTGATTTGCTGTTTCTTATTATGTCCCTGTTGCAGAATCATATTCTCTGTGGTTACTTAAAAGGTGATTCATAACTGACTTGAATTTCTACCAAATGAGAGGGGAACAGATATTTCAATATTGTTACCTAATTTAGGCAGTAGCGCTGAGCTCAGGAGAATATGCAACAGTTGTTCTCTCACCAGACACGGGAGGTGTAAAGCTGTAACTTTATGAGGTGGTGATGCTCGTGGGAGCAAAGTGGAAAAAAATTGGAACAAAAATAAAGATCTCAACTGTAGGCCGGATGCAGTGGCTCACACCTGTAATCCTAGCCCTCTGGGAGGCTGAGGCGGGAGGATTGCTTGAGGTCACAAGTTTGAGGCTAGCCTGAGCAAGAGTGAGACCCCATCTCTACTAAAACTAGAAAAAAATTAGCTAGGCAACTAAAAGTAGAAAAAAAATATTAGCTTACCATGGTGGTGCTCGCCTGTAGTCCCAGCTACTTGGGAAGCTGAGGCAGGAGGATCATTTGAGCCCAGGAGTTTGAGGTTGCTGTGAGCTAGGCTGACACCACGGCCCTCTAGCCGGGGCA